GAAACGTTGGTTAACATCGACCAGACTACACAGCGCAACAACCCAGAAGATAGAAATCATCATACTCACCGCTGTGAAAACCTCAAATCTGACAACATAAAATCAGTTTACTCCAGTGTGTGAGCTACATAAACAATAAACTGATATTTCATTTTGACTTTGTGAACCTGTGTTAGTGGTAACTGAAATAAAACATTTTTGTATGGAAACCGTAAGAGGTCGATTGGGAATCAAGGTGAACATGGGAGGATAGTATGGTAAATAAAGACTTTATGTGATGACAGAAATCCTCAACATGATTCATTGCTGAGCTTAAATATAGTAATTGCTGCTTGTCTTGGTGAGAGAATAATTGTTTTGGTTTTGGGTATGATTGAACTGCAGAATGAAGAATTATTAAATGTATCTCAGACAGGGGGAATCAAAACATATATGGAATTGTGATGGAGAAATTTCTAAGAATTTAGCTGTTTGGAAGAGCAAAATGGAATGAGGGAATAATATTACCAACATTTTGGGGGATCATATAGCCTCCATCTTCAGGATAATCAACTGCAAGACTAGATGGTATCAAAACTTAGAAGACCAGAATCAGCATAATTATTGTGGCAACCTTGAATCTTCAATATTAAAACTGATCGTAGGGAAATGTTTTTTGAGGATTTGAGTAAGATTCAAATTATTTCGAGTGGGAAGAAATGACAGGCATTTGTGATGACAGTGAAGCATGTTCAGATGGACTGATTGTATGGTTTAGCACCTTCTGTGGCTGCTTGAAATGGTAGAGACCATCAAGAAGGATCCTGTACCAACTAATTCAATGGTACAGGGTCTCTGTTGAGCTGTTAATTGTTAATTCACTGATTATGAAATCCCCTGATTTCATGGAACTGAAAAGTTCTGTACTGGTTTCACGAAATCCCATCATTCATCACAGTCTTTATCCTGTCAGTTGAGTTTGTGTCTTCACAAAACACATATTTTTAAGTCATGATATTTTTCTTCCATTTTAGCATATATTTAGATTTTTGAATCCTGAATTAAAATCCTTTTATGTAAAGAATGAATAGGTAACGTAACATGCAGAGTCCATATTATGGTAATCTATAGATTTAAGGAACCTATATTTTTTCCTTGTTATTTTAACTTTGTTAAAAAGAAGCTTAAGACTTGTAAGTGTGGCATAACTTTTAACAAGACTAGTATGTTGGCTGTGTTTCAGCACCATATGGAATTAGAGAAGCTACAGAGCGCATAGGATCCACAAAGAACTACCAAATCAGTGACCACCATCTTGTGGGGCACATACCCTCAAAAGTTGAGTATGGTTTGCAGCAGATCTATCAAGATCTCTTCCAGTTTGCAGCCCAGCACCTGAAGATGGGGGGAAGACTGGTGTGTTGGATACCTGTAGTTCGGTGAGAAAACCAGCCACAAAGTTGGCAACTTGATATTGCATTACATAATTACTACTCCACAGATACTTCCCTATTAAATAATGAAACCCCCTACAAAAATATATTTTATCTCTTGTGTTCCTGCTTTTCCATCCAGGTGCTAACTAGATCTAACCATTCCTTATGAGTTTTATGTATTCCTATTTGAAAGGGAAGCTTGATTATCATCTATTGGAACAGAACTGTAAAATATACCATTTTTGTGTGTACTTTGCATGAGGCACATAAAATGAACATATGGGGATGCCTTGTCTGCATCAGCATATTTTGTCTCCAGACCTAATGAAATGGATTTTGCTAAACTTTGGTATTTTGGGGGTCACCACTAAATTTAATACATTAATTTAATATTGATCAATATTCCCTTCCATCTCTCATGGTCCTCAGGACTTCAAATTATTTTTTTTATTGGTTCTTAGTTTATGGAGGTGGTTCAAGATATTGCCATTGGGAGAGAACTTTTGTTGCAAAATAGCCTTCTGGTGGCCACTTTGTGAACTAAAGCTGCATGGTTGTCATGTTTATGTTTTTTTTCTGTAATTCCATTTCTCTTTTCCATATATGGTGTGACCTTCTCCTCAGCGTATCACTGTTGTGCCAAGCTCCTCTTGTGTGTACGTTACTGGGAATGGTTTATCACTGGTGGCATAGTCGGAAGCATCCGTCTTTGTTGCTGGCTGGCGTGGAGTAAAGATACAAATTATGTTTAGTGCTTGGTTCTATTGTCTGTATTTTGGCCTCAAAGTTAGTTTTTACGGGTTGGCTCATGTCAACCAGGGGCAAAGAGTGAGAAAGATCTTATGCAAATGTAGGTATGCATTAAAGTGTATTTTGTGATCATTTGTGTTGGGTTGAGCTAGGCCGCCTTGCCACTCTGTCAAGTGCTAGTGAATGATTGAGTGGCAGTTCAAGACAGGCTGAATATGGCTGTAACAATTTGTCTGGAGTGATTGAGGAACACTACAATATCCTGTATGACGTACCAGTTAACAGTGTTGTGTTTTTTTCTAGAGATGATTACAGTGAAGACAAGCTGCCTATGCATCCATGTTTTCACTTGGTAGCAAACTCTGAGCAAGCCCTTACGACTTACACCAGTCGACACCTCCTCACTCTGGAGAAAGTGCAGGATCCGCAGGTAAAGTGGTGAATTTAGTGAAGCATGTAAATATATCTTCCTACTCAGTTTATATGTGTATTTAAACTTTCCACCAAAATGTCAGTGTTGATCTCTGGGGTGTAATGGTGTGTGTGGACATGCATCCAACTAATGTTCTGGAGGAACATGCTGCTGCCATCTTCTTCTCTGTCAGTGAAAATATAAGATTCTAGGTTCTCACAGTGGTGAAGATGTCGATGTTGGTACTGTTTGTTGTAGAATAGAGGTAAATACTGATTTATTGGAGGAAGATGAAGGCAGTATGTTATTCCAGAATGTTGACATTTACCTACGAGTCCACATAACTTGGACAACTGACATCAACATCTTCTTCTATGGCTCTCTGGTTCGTATTCGGTCCATGGCCTCCTCAATTCTCCTCTTCCATTTGGTCCTATTGTTAGGTCGATTCTGTCTGAGGCTTTGATTGAGGTTTCGAAACATCTTCCTTTTTACGGTGCAAGGTTGTTAGCCTTGTGACCAACCCCCAACCTGGAGGACCAGGGTACCTGTCTTAGTCTGACCTCTCCCCCTTGACCAACCATACCAGTAGCTATGCTACCGCCAACATAGCTCTTGGGGTCACTGAGGTACTCAAGCCCCACCACCACGACAAGGTGCAGGTACCATTAAGTGGGGACATCAACATCTCACTGCTGTGAAAACCTCTTATCTCATATTTTCGCTGTCATGATTTGTAGGTCATGACACAATTGGCTGTGAAGTTTGATTCATACATTTCTGATGCCATTTCTGTGGCACATGCCAGTATATACCAAACTCTTTTGGAACTTTGAATTGTTACATTTTTTGTTTATCTATTTGTATTATATAACAGGCAAAGGAAATATGAATTTAAACTAGGCTTTTTTTGCCATTAATTACCTATGCTGAAATGCAAATAGCAGTGACTTGAATATGAAACAGTAACCACGAATTAGCAAGTTTTCTTGTAAACCTTGGGCCCATAGTTTGTATTTCTGTTTGGTGGTGCCCTCAAATTATATTCGTGATAAATTGAAGAGACATGTGTCTGCTGACATATTAATATAAGAAGATCAATATTTTAATCTTTTTCTTATCTAATTTTTATTTTTTAAGCAGCACTCGCCAGTATGTATGATAGCTTAGTCAGTACAGGCAGTTCTCGGTTTACGAACGTTCGATTTATGAACATTCGCTGTAACGAACGTCACAATTCATTCAAAATTTCTTAAAGTTGCCAATAGATAGAGTTCCTTATAAAACGAAATGCCAAACATATAGTGAACACAATTGTAAGATTTAACAAATAAACTTTTAAAAAATGTATTTATTACAATAATTATCAGAAAATTATTATATGATAATTATACTGAACTGTTCTTGGTTATAAAACTAATCTAGCCATTAAAAAAACGTTGGTTTACATGCCACGCCGCGTAGGAATGTTTTCTCGTGGGAAAGAAATTGGCGATTCCCCCTATTATAATATAATAATATGTATAATATGATAATATTGTAAAAGCTCAGGAATGCAAGATACACATAATGAACGTCTTGGAACAGAACTTGTTTGTAAACCAAGAGTTGTTAGTAATATGAATGGCTTGCGTTCAGTTTCTCATATGGATATTGGGAATTTTATTTTCACTGAAACATACAGAACCGCTGTGGTGCCTCTCCTGTCTTCTGTTCAGA